ACAGAGTAAACATACCCATTCCAAAAGGGAGGCATAGAGTGACAGACAACAATCAAACTGAAAAGCAAACCTGAATCCTGGCAGGACAAACATTAAATCAAAGAGTTCCAGATCCATCACTCAAAGCACATGGTGGTAAAATCTGAGCTCCAAAGGGCTTTCATGTCCTCTTTTCTTTGTCCTTGATGGTTGCAGCCTGCATAGCTTCTCTCTTGGGCTGGCTCCACTGATAGCCGGCAGCTTTCCTCAGCAGAGGGTCCTGACTTCCAGGGGTCTCCACTGCACCTTTGACTTCATTCTTACAGCTTCACACACTAGTCTCTCAGGGGCTGCCTGCCTCACCTCCTAGGCCTTCCTCTGAAATCTGGCTAGAAGAAGCCTCTCTGACCTGACAACTCTTGCATTCTGCATGCACTCAAAGCTGGCATCATGTGGACCACACCAAGAGCTGCTGTCAGAGGCAGCAGCAACCAGGCCTCCTGAGGTGTGACTGAGCATAGCTGCTCAGTTCATGGTGGCTGGGAAGCAGAGCAGGAAAGCAGTACCAGCCCGAGGCCAGGAGGCTCCTGGGAGAGTCACTGGTAAATCTGCCCTGGAAGGCACAAAAAACTGAAGTCTGATGTCCAAGGGTGACGACAGCAAGAGACTGCCCCAAGCACAATGGGCACTTCCTTCTTTTCTCCTCCCAGTCTATTCAGGGTGGGTTTTTCTCCCTCCGTTTGCTCAGTCAATCATACACCCAGAACTGTGCTTTATAAATCTGCTAGGTGTTTCTCAATCCAGCCAAGTTGATAAGTCACAACTAACAGTGACCGAAACAAAGTCACATACTACAATATCAAGTAACAGAATCCCTTCATAAAGAGTGATGATTCTCATCAAAGGTCCACCCAGAGTTGGACTCTTTTAACTTTCCACACTTGGTCCTCCAGTATCAGCCTTTCCTGGTAAGACCCTAGAAAGTTACCTCCTTTTTGAATCTCATTTGTGAAAGGCAAACAAGAGTATTTATTTGTACAAGGATATTATAACGATGAGAACATTTTTTTTTTTTTTTTTTTTTTTTTTTTTTTTGGCGGAACTGGGGATTGAACTCAGGCCCTTGCCAGGGAAGCGCTTATTCCACTGAGCCATCTCCCCAGCCCCTAAAGGTTTATTTCTTTTTCTTTGTGGAACTGGGGATTGAACTCAGGCCCTTGCACTTGCCAGGCAAGTGCTTATTCCACTGAGCCATCTCCCTGGCCCCCAGAACATTTGTATGTTAAGTACTTTATATTACCTGATTACTTGACATCATACCAAACAGATGACTACTGACTAAGAAGAATCTCTAGGGCCAGCTAAATAGCTCAGCAGATTAAAGCACCTGAAAGCTGGCGCAGGGACTGGGGGTTCGATCCCCAGGCCTGCTATGCCAGCCCTGTTCCCAGGGTGTACTGAGATGGCAATTAAGACTGGGCGTGGTGGCACATGCTGTAATCCCAGCTCTTGGGAGGCTGTAAACAGAAGGATCACTATGAGTCCAATCTAGTAGTGAGACCCTGAACACCCTATAGACCCTTACCCCCCCCCCAAAAAAAAAGAAAGAAAAGAAAAGAATCTCTACGATGCCCTCTAGTTTGAAGTTTTATTAATAGCCTGTGTGGTTACAAACAGCTATAATCCATCACTCACAGGGCTGCCGGCCTGAAAAACACAGTGAGGTCCTGTCTCAAAAAACCAATATAAATAAATTTGAAGAAAAGTTTTATTAGTAAGTAACAATTATTAAAGGTCTTAGCTGAAAGGGATCTCTTCAGAGACACATACCTTAAAGAACTTAAGATGAACTAATATAAGAACTGGGACCTACTTCATGAGAATCCAATGGGAACAGTTGGCTTGTGTACAGGGTTTGGCCCCTTTCTTTTTGTTTATTTAGTACTGTGACTCAAACTCATGACCTTGCACTTTCCAGACAGGTGCTGTACCACTGAGCTAAAACCCCGGCCCTCACATTTTGAGTACTGCAGAAGTTGGGTTACAGGGTCATGGGCATCCATGAAAAAAACTTTCCGTCTACTTTTTATGCTTGAGACTTTCATATTGAGGTAAGTCAGTTAATTTTAATTTTCATATTAAGATAATTTGGACGGCTGGGGAGATAGCTCAGCGGGATAAGAACCTTCCTGGCAAGCACAAGGTCCTGGGTTTAATCCCTGGTCCCCCATCACCCCCCCAAAAAAATACTTTGGGAGTCATTAGACTAAGGTGGCTCAGTCATTAGATTGAGGTAGTTCAGGATTCTGAGTTTTTCCCTAAATGAATTAAAACCCAACTCAGAATGAATGGTCATAGCCCTGGAAAATAAAACATCAACTGACTCGGTCAGGAATTGTCACCTAGCCTCTACCTGGGGGCTTGACCTATCAGAAACTCAGCTAGCCTGTGACTGGTGACTTCCATTTCAGTCAGTCAATATTTTCCTTGCCTCACTTCTGCAAACTCTGTAAAAGTCTCTCCTTGAGTCCAAGTGGTAGAGGCCAAACAGCTTGCAGTTCTGCACCACCTAATTCATGAATTGCTGTCTACTCAACTAAATTCTTTAAAAATTTAGTGTGTGCATAACTGTGTGTGTGTGTGTGTGTGTGTGTGTGTGTGTGTGCATAGAGTTGAGCCTAGGGACTTGTGCGTGCTAGGCAAGTGTAATGGCTGATACATCTGTAAACTTGAGAAGTTTAGAAATTTAAGTGACTCAATAGTGGGCCAAGGTTTTCACTTTGTAAACATCCTGGGCCTTTGCAAGAAGAGGGCACAGAGGGGGCTGGTGAGATGGCTCAGTGGTCTAAAGCACCTACTTAGAACAAGCTTAGCAAAGCACAGGGACCGCGGTTCAATCCCCCAGCACCACATGCCAGCCAGCGCCACCCCCCTGGTGGGCTGAGCTGGCCACACACACACACACACACACACAAATAAATAAAAATTAAACTTAAAAAAAAAAAAAGAGGGCACAGAGATGGTGTGAATGTTGGGGTAGCCTTGTGACAATATAAGGGGGGAAAAGAGGCTCGCTCCCCCTCTTCTGCTCTCCTGCTTTGCTGGACTCTGCTGCCTGGAGCACTGCCCCTGGGCCACACTGCCCTGCCTTGGAGCCAGCCAGGTGTGGGCTGAAGCCTGCACAAACCATGCACTAAATAAACCTTTCTTTCCATAATTCTGGGTGCCAGGTATTTTGTCTCAGCAATGATAAAAAAGCAACTAAGAGAGTAAGTTTATCGTTCAATAAAAGTAAAGAAGCAGAGGGAAGGGGCTGGGGAGATGGCTCAGTGGAATAAGCGCTTCCCTGGTAAGTGCAAGGGCCTGAGTTCAATTCCCAGTTCCGCAAAAAAAGAAAGAAAGAAAGAAAGAAAGAAAGTCCTGATGCTAGAAGTAAAGGAGGGTTTGGAGATGTAGTTCTGTGTTAGAAAACATGCTTAGCGTCTGCAAGGTCTTGGGTTTTCCTGTTTTTTAGTACCAGGGATCAAACTTGGGACCTTGTGCTTGCCATGCAGGCATTTATGCCACTTAGCTATCTCCCCAGTAAGGCCCTGGTTTTGATCTGCACTGTGAGAAAAGAAAAAACAAAAATCTGCAGAGACCTTACGGAGGGGTGGGGTGCTAGGGGTGGAACCCAGGACCTTATACATGCCAGGCAAAGGCTTTCCCACACTGCTGCACCCTCTTATAATCAGATATTTTAAATGGATGGCATATTTAAGAACTTAAGACCTTAAGTGCTTGCTTTTTGCTATTTTTATTTAAATATTTTAAATAAAGAGTTTAAGGAGGTGATCATTTGATTATGCTTTCAAATAGCCTTTTAATTATTATTTATTGATACAGGGTCTCCCTATGTAATTTGGACTCATAGTAATCCTCCTCTCTCAGCCATCCAGAGCTGGGATTACAAGTGTGTGCTACCGCACCTGGTTTCGGTGTCAACAAGGCACATGCTAGGTTCTAGGGCCCACATGCATGGCATGCAGTACCAGGGACCGAACTTGGGTCCTTGCATTTGCCAGGCAGGTTCTTAGGCCACCAAGCTATCTCCTCAGCCCAAAATAGCTTTTTAATTTAATTTTAATTAAAGGAAATTCATCATAATCAATATTGTAGCAAAAATTATATTTATATAATTTAACTTTTCTAATGGAATCTACATGTTAACCTAGAAACTTAAACATTTTAAGAATTTTCCCCGAAGAACCTTAGGATATATTAACAGTGTTATATTGTAAGAACTCAACATCCTAGGGCCAGTAAGATAGCTCAGCAAACTAAGCACCTGCTTAGGCAAGCACAGGGACCACGAGTTCAATCCCTAGTCCCACATGCTGCCCGGCCCTGGCCCTGGCCCTGGCCCTGCCCCAGGTGCACTGAGACAGCCACTGAGACTGGGTGTGGTGGCACACACCTGTAATCCCAGCACTGGGGAGGCTGAAAACAAGAGGATCACCGTGAGTCTGAGCTGCATAATGAGACCCTGTACCAAATACGTAGAAAAAAAGAAAAGAACTCAAGGGGCCAGGGAGATGGCTCAGTGGAATAAGCACTTCCCTGGCAAGTGCGAGGGCCTGAGTTCAATCCCCTGTTCTACAAAAAAAGAAAGAAAAGAAAGAAAGAAAAGAACTCAATATTCTGGCTGGGCATGGTGGCATATGCCTACATAGGGAGTTCAAGCCCAGCCTGAATCAAAAATAAATAAATAAATAAATAAATAAACCAAGAAAAAGAAAACAAATCCAACATTCTATTATATCTAAAAAACATAATTATATATCAATATTTCAAAGGATGATTAATTTGATACTTCTCTGACAAAAAACAAAAACACTTATGACTGGGTCTTAGGGTGTACCTCATGGAAGAGCCCTTGTCTAGCATGCACAAGGCCTAGGGTTCAACCCCCTCAAGAAAAACCTTTCACTAATCATACAGAACTTAACAGCAACAAATACATAACATTTTCCTCGCCTTACCCTGAAGATGTGAATTATCAAGAAAGTCCTCATGAGTGTCTTTTGATTCTCCAGGTCTTGCTGATCGATACTCACTCCTCAGCGAGATCTTCCACCATCTAAAGATTATCTGTAATTGAAAAGAAGGTAATAGAATTTAAAGCTAAGTCCAACCCTGGCAGCCTCATCAAGTTTGGAATTTTGAAAGATAAGTGTGATATGATATTTCTGACATTACTGATAACTTAGCATTTAGAAGTAACATCTATGAACATTTTACTTAGAGATTAGAGTCACAGAATCATGGTGCTGGGAGGAAGTTTAAAATCTTATCAAGGGCTGGCCAAATAGCTCAGCGGATTAAAGTGCCTGCAAACATGCTCAGGGGCTGGGGGTTCGATCCCCGGGCCTGCCATGCTGGCCCCATCCCCGGGGCGTGCTGAGATGGCAATTGAGACTGGGTCTGGTGGCGTGCGCTGTAATCCTAGCCCTTTGGAGGCTGTAAACAGGCAGATCACTACAAGTCCGATCTAGTAGTGAGACTCTAGACCCACCATGAACAGCCTGTAGACCCTTCTCTAAAATACAAAAAAAAAAAA